GCGCGACCACCAGGAGCAACCCTGTCGTCGCGACGCTCGTCGCCACGTCTGAAAAAAATAAAAACGTGATATAATACAAATAAGAAAAATATCAATCAGACACAAGAGAACAAGAGATTTCTTAATCAATAAATAAATGTTTTAATATGCATTCTTAATTGTTGGAATGTTTGCATTATTTATATGATGAAAGGACAAAAATACAAACAGCAATCATACGAGTATGTCAATTAAAATTGTATACGATCTGATCATAATGGAACATATCCTGCTTTTCTACGATGTATCATAATTAGACTGTGAATCTTTATGCAAAATAAAGATAAAATCCTTATGGTATCAGTGTTGGATTGCACGAGAACAAGGAATGAGATGACTATAAGAATTCTAAGTTGACTTTATTTCTATACTTAATACGAGTTTTAAGACGGAAGTATTTTAACTCTTGTTGGGTTGTAGAATAAGGAAAACTCGGGGAAGTAAAGTAAGAAAGAGGGGATGGTTATGAGTAAGGACTGAAGAAAGGTCAAGAATGATTTAAGGTTTCAGGTTGGAGAACGATCCACAATCTTAGTTTATATGATTCAGAGTTATTGCTTCACTAACTAAACATTAGATAAACGAAAATAACTAAAAATTAAAATGGTATCCAACATCAGTTTCACATGTTTCATGCCACATGTACCACCCATGCTACACGCTGATATATTTATGACTGAAAACATGTATTTTATGGTAAATTTAAGACTGTATCATGGATGGCAGACGATGTGTTAACTAGATTACACAAACTAATTATTTATGATTGATGATGTGATGAAATATTAGCCTAATTGAAAAGTCGAGTAAATCGATTCGGCACAGGACATATTAAAAGATATGTTTTGGATAACCATTTATATGATTATTTAATATCCATTCAGCTTTCAATATACGGAATTGTTCTACATTTTACACGCGGCATTGATCATTTCTGCATTCAATTTTTTTATAGTTGTATAGAATCCACAGCCTAATCTTCCTCCCTGCTGTAAATTCGCCAATTATTCAAACTGAAGGTTGCTAGCCCAGCGTAGAGAGCTAACCATGCGAGAACGAAACTGAAAAAAAAATGAAAGCATCCCTTGGCCCTCGGCGCATTAATCCAGCCCAGGAAATTGCGTGGGTTTTCGACTCAGGACCGTGAAAATCGCGCCAGTTGCCCCGAAAAGGGTTGCGACCGACAATCAAGGAAAAGTTTCCCGGCGAAATATCCGGCCCGTTGTTCTTCCCGTAGGAAAGACGGTCCGCGAAAGATCGTCTCCTCTGGCTAGACGGATGAAGGATGAGAACGTAAACGGAGGAAAAAACAGACTGAACCAGTGCGGCAAGGGAGCAAAAGGGGAACGGGAAGTCAGTTATTCTTCCGGCTGGCCTGGTCCATACTTTTCAACCATTATCTGCTTGGGGAGAGACGTATTCCTCCGGACCCCACTCATCTCTAATTAGAAATCAGAAACAACCCGGTAGGCTCTCGCCCCAATCATTATCCACCCTGTACCTTGCTTCGTCTACTATTCTCGTCTTCCGTCGATTTCTCCGGCTGCGAGACCGTCTTGACGTTTCCTCTTCTTCCACCCCCTCTCTCTCTCTCTCCTTTAAATCTTCTTAAACTCGTTCGGATTTTACGATGTAACGAGTGTTACAGAGCCTCACTTAAATGTTTATATCATGACTAGTATAAACATTAATCTTCAATTTAATATTTTAATTGAAAGACAGTTTTAATATTGCTAAACTTTATTTATTTGAATGATTTATACGCATTGTGTCTGCGAAACAACGTGTAAAACTGTTGAAAAGTATTTTTAACAATGTCCACGGGAAAAGAGTGGAGTTGCAGTGAAAACAATTACGTACGCAGTACCGTCAACAATCGAGCCAATGTTGATTTTCTACATTTCGCTGGAATCCAACTGGATTTTACATTTTGCTGTTCTCACGCCCAGCGTGCATTTTTTCACCTCGAATCCAGTTCATGAATCGTTTTTCATCAACCTAATCGTTCTGATTTGTTCATATTCATACCTGGACTTCACCGTTTGATTTATTTGAGTCAATTCTTATATCGTGAGATTAAAACGATAATTATTTGATAATCAGATTCGATGCTTGTTTAGAGAAACTTATTTCTTTTAATCAAACAAGTGAATATACTTCGGCATACTAGATTTGAAACGCAAATTAGCTATCGAGTCTTCCGATAATGACTAGGATAAGAAGGCATGTTCAACAAAAGCGAGTGCACAGCGAGAAGCGGGGGCCCGTGGAAAGAAAATCCCTCGGCTACGGAAACTCGCGAGTTCGTTGGGGGAGGATTGCTGCGCGAGACAGTTCGCAGCTCGATATCGTTCGGACCGCCCCGGCTCGCAGTTCGAAAACGAATTTAATCCAAAGGCGGTGTGGGTGTCGCGTTCGACCTTCGATGCAGTGAGGTTCGCCGAGCTACCAAAGAGCTGGAAGTACTTATCAAGTTGTGGAAGCTCGACGCGGTTCCACAGTCTCCCTTTTTTCCACCCTCCGGTTTTCCGTCCTCCAGCGAAATTACCTACTTCCATGGGACTATCGAGATCGAGCCCCCGCGGAGAAAACGGATTTTCACACTTTCCCATTATGCAAATTCCTTTTAAAAAGAAACCGCCGCGGACCGGCTCTCTGTATCGGCTATGAAAAGGAAGGGAAACTATCTCCCTCCCTCTCTATCTTTCTCTTTCTCTCTCTTCCACCGAGAACAGGTTGGTGGCTGGAACAGTGAAGGGGCCAGGGAAAGAAATATTCCGATAACGCCGCGGGGCATGGAGGAATTTCGCCGGGTGCTAAGCCTCTGACCCCGCGGCCCTCTGTTCGAGCCGCTGTCATTTAAATGCCACTGCCGAGCCACGAGATGCCGGATAAACCGCAACTTCGTCGGCGCGCGGAGGGACCGGCCTCCTCTCGTCGACGTTTTGTTTCCTCCCTCTCTCCCTCGCCGGCTCGTTTGCTACGTCGCACCCTATTTAAGCCCGGATTTCAATGGCTGGCTATCAGACTTCGATTCCGGCAGGCCCGCTCCGATATCAGCTATTATTAATTTTTCTCACTGACCGACGCCAGACCGATTAATGAGCTGCCGAACAGGAATTCCTACGGCCAGACACTGTTTCGTTGTTTCCAATCACAGTTCTTCTATTGTTGCATAGGGAAAGTCAATGCATTCTTTCAGGCAAAATCGGGGATCTTATGAATGGGGTAAAATACTTTAACAAGCTGTTAAGACTTCTATTATTTTCAGTTGTAGTTATAATCTGAGGGAATAGTGAATTAGAAAATAAATGGCAGAGTAATACGAGTCTGCGACGGATATCGATTAATTAAGTCAGCGCACAGCATTTATTATAATATATGATCATCTTTAATTCTCACTTATACTATGACATTTATAATAATTATAATTGAAATCAATAGTCGACGATATTGATATAGCAAGGCGAGTTAACAAAGTTTAAGAGTTCACACGATCGACTGTTCCCACCGAGAATTGCTCGAAGGACAAGGATCTCGAGCACCGCGAGTTTAGAACGCCCATTCCTACTGGGCGTCAATACCATCAACGTTCCTATCATAAACTATCCAGCCTACAAGCAGCAGGATAGACAATTTAACTGGGGCGCGACTAACCCGAATGCGAAGGGTTCACAAGTTAAGCATTGGAAAATGCTAAGACTGAAGGAACTATTAAATATGTCGAATTATATTTGGATTCCATTTTCATAATCGTGTGCATAAGATTACGATTTTGTAAAGAGAAATTCCTGACACGCAATAATGAGGTAAAAAGATGTCCAACGTTGTTACGTGTCGACGATTGAACTGAGGAAAGTTGAGGAAATAAGAAAACCGAGGGGACGTTAACTACCCCTGTCGGGCTCGTCTCGTTTTAAATTAGTCTGCAGTTACACGTATCTGGTATAGAAACAGAGCAAGAAAGCTTACCGCTGTCTGGGGTCCAATTGTAGTTCCTTTTCCTATCCGGGTCGCTCGATTTTTGTTCGGATTTGCCGATCTCGCTGAGATTCGACTGGAATTTATTACCTGTAACAAAGGCCAACGAACGATTCTTCAGGTTTTGTTAAAAATTCATAACAACGTTGAAAAAAATGACTTCTTTAAGGCCCTGATAAAATATAACAGTTCAATATTATTTAAATTTCTTTCTTATATATTCAAATTGCAACGAAAGAGTAATGGTAATCAACTAATCATAAACAGAATTTCCTGCGAGATAGATGTAAATTCCGCTTCCTGACAAGGAAACGATCCTGAATAACCGGGCGACAAAGGGCTGGACGAAACAATGTCTCGCTACGTAGAGACAGAGTTAGAACGTGGGGAGTTAAAGAATGGGAAGGAAGTGGCCGGAGGTGCAAAAGGAAGCGCGGACAAAAGGTACTTTCGAGTGGCCCCCTCTGTTGAAGATGTTTACGGGCCTGTTACGCGTAAAGTGGGTGGCAAACGCGGTAACTAGTATGCAAACTACGAGTAAACACAATTCCCTTATCCGCCGCCGCCATCGTCCGCTCCCGGACCCATTCCGTACCGCGCAGCGCTGCGTGGCAACGCGTTCGTCACCGTCCGGCCCGTTGGATCGAATCAAGTAATGAAACTACCGCACGTTCCCTTTCGTATGTATGCTGCACAGTGGGATTTACATCCCCAGCTATTTTACTGCAATTTTCCGCAGAGAGAATCAGAGCACACTTCGTTAACATGGAGATCATTCTTTAGCATCCTTTTGTAATTTACAGATTCAAATGTATTCTCGAATTGTCATTCCACAACATTTTTATAAAACTCCGAATTCAATGTAATTCTATAAACTTTATTTATTTATTTATTTATTTATTTATTTATTTATTTATTTNCGATAGAACACACCGAATTTAACATTCCTGTTTACAAAGAGGTACGTGAAACCCAAAAGCCTTTTTATATAAAGACGAAAATTGTAGTCCCATAAATCTATATTTTTGACTAAGTTCGTGAATAACATTGACATTTTGCCTTACCGCCTCAGGTATACATTCGCGAGAGTATCACATTTTTAAAATCCTCAAAGTCTCCAATACTAGCAAATCTAATCCTTCGTTGAACGATTCTCGTGCGAATTTCGGTATCAGCCTTCCGAGTTAGCAAACCAGGTAGCGACGGACTTAATTCTCGCCTGCAGCCAGGTCGAACGCTTTGTCTTGGCGCGGACCTCGGTGATTAGATATTGCAAGTTCCGAGACGAAGGAACGCGATGGTGAAGGAAAGCTGTCGACGGAACACAGGTTCCCCTTCACAATACCCTATTTCGGGCGAGGTAATGGCTGATCATCCCTGGTACACACGCGTGCGCCGTGAGTCACTTGTTCACCCCGGCTGTGTGTATATAATAGCCCCTGGGTTCCTCCGTACAGAGAGAGGGTTAGGCTCGCATACACGTCCCGGGGACAACAAGCTGACACACGCGGCCGAACGCAGGAATGGATAGGCCAGACAGACGTATGCAAATCTCGGCCAAACATTACCGGTGACAGTACATATCACGGTGTATACGTAGCAAAGAAGGTTCCTAAACGACTGACGAAAGATCGTATAAATATATTTTAACTTTATTCATTTAAATGTGGAAATATGATTCCCTTGTTCATTAACTTTCTCAGTGATTTCTCATTAAAAGAATTTTGAAAAACATTTCGTATTTATTATTTGTACTGCGTCCAGTGTTCGGCGATGCAAAACGCGGCGCCGTGTGAAGTTTATCAATGAACGCCCGGGAGAAGGTCCTGGACAGAATTTCAATAAGCTCACTCTCGTCCGGCGCTCTGTTAAATTTCGAAACAGGAAACAATCTGTATGGTCGGTGCCGAATGTGCAAAGTACCGACGTAGCTGCCACGTTGTAACTCGTTTCACATTCAAGGATTGTTAGTAGCTGTACTCTAAGGTGGCACACGGTTCTGTAATAGGACGACTGCGAAAACGTGTTCAAGTGATCAAAGCCTGCTGGTCATTAGCGAAGGCAAAAATGATTATACATAGACGTTCAGAAATGAATATAGTAACACTGTTTTCATTCAACATTTTTCTTGCTTTAATTTCAATTAATATTAGATAATTTTATTTCAATAAAAAATTCTGAATAATTCTCCTTATTTAGAAATTAATTCTCAAAAACATCCAAGGAATCTCGAAAATGATACAGAGCCTAGGTGAAAGTTTTTACAATATGTGCGGACATTTCCGGGGATCATTAGCGGGCAGCTTTACAATTTCATTTCCATTTATTCTGCCTTGCAAAGCAGCTGGGCTGCGTTCGTCAGCGCGAAATTTGAAATGCAACGAATTTCCAAGATTGCAAATTAGAACTGCGGCGGCCGCTAATATTTATGACGGTGCGTGCGTTTCTCGAGCAAGTGCCACATAAACATATCATTTACCCGTACCGTGTCCTGACAGTCAAGTGTCATTGTAGCATGCATAACAGAAGTCAGTGTAACACAACAAGGAATCGATCCAATTTTCAGATATGAGGTTTATCAATTAGAAATTAATGAATTACAAATCAAGGAAAAATATTCTTGCGGTAGATCTGATTTTATTAAACGAACTTCAAAGCTATTTTACTATAAAATTGTGAAAGTCAAGGAATTTAGTTTAGGTTTAGGTACGAGGTTTATAAATTAGAAATGAAAATCAAAATTGAAATAAAAAATATAATATTCCCGCAGGTAATTAACTATATAAATTTCAAAACTATTTTAATACAAAATTGTGGGAGTAACGAGATTAACTCATTAAATATAAAATGCGGAACAATTAGAATGTATTCGTATTGCGATGCGTGGAATATACATATAATTAACAGGGTTTGGTTCCAAAGCATGGCAGCGGGTGGTCATTGATCAAAAGAAAGATTTGAAAGCGTCAGAATGGGCGACAGAGGACAAAGTGGATATAATAAATAGCTGTTAGACAAAAGATTCGTCAGAGTGTTGGTCAATCGTTTCGAGGAAGAGCATCGAGCTTCGAGTGAATTCGCAAGCCTATCTATTGTCGGTACGCGCGTGCACATTATTGCACGCACGCTGAGAGCGGTTTAATATTCGCTGAATGGAGTGGTACGAAGCGTTTGAAATACGGGCTTCATGACATACCTAAATTCGACAACGATTCGCGATATGAATCACGCGCGCCAGGCACGCGACGTATGAATTAGAGACAGGAAATACTTGCCGGATTCTTCCGGTTCATTTCGGGCTTCACGCGATCGCTACGAATCAACTTATCAACCATGATAATCCGGTGAAACGTTCAGGAATCCCTGTTATGATATCAAACATTTTAATTACTGCATTTCAGCATTAACTGCTTATGAATTTAACAAATACTATTGTGCCAAAATAAATACGAATTCATCATTTAGTAAATAGCATAATACGTTTAAAGTTGTGTGAACCCTTACATAAAAATAATGACAGAGTATTGAAATTTTAACAGTTATTAGATATATTAATAAGACTGTATAAAATATTAGAAATCTTGCAAGTCTATTAAAGAAATTATGACGTCTTGACGCGTTTTTTAAAACATTATCTATCAGATTAATTTTACCCAAACGGAGTGTCTCATTTCGTTTGAATAAAAAATCAAATGGAAAACGATGAACATTGTTACATTTGAGAGGACAGCAATAGGGCAGGTGACTCGTGACAGAATTGACCCAGTTGAGGGGCCGAAGTCCCTTCCGACTGCATACATATAGCGAATATTAAGCCAAACCCCGACCGAACTCCGGTGCAAACGCACACTGACGCACGATGCCTGCTGCCTCTGTGTAGAACATGTTGACAGTGCGTACACGCGCGGTTAAGTCAATCCAGATATGTACCGTTCACGAAATCCGAGGCAATCGAAGATAACAGAGAGTATCGATGCAATTAGATTGTCAACGGCTCGCCACAGGACAGTTTCTGAGCCAAAATTTCACGCGGTACTTCTCTCAACTGCAATTTACCATGCCCGCACCGTCGGCTGTTATGTTTAGTTGGTTGAGTAATTGTAAATGTGACCAGCGAATTGCTGAAGCTTTGCCTTATCATTAATGATTTATTGCATCTTCTGCTTGCAGAGAATTGGTACATTAAACTGTTTTATGACGCTTGATATAATAATTCATA